CCGCAGCTCCCAGGCCCCGCACGCATGGGGGCACCCTGCAGCTGTCCAGCTGGGAGTGTCGGGGGCCCTGCAGCTGCCCAGCCGCGGTGGGCGGTGGGGGACCCCCTGAAGCTGCCCAGCTGTGGCAAGTGGCTGGGGGACCCTGCAGCTCCCAGCCATGATGCGCGACCCCGCAGCAGCCCAACCCCATTGGCAGGAAGACCGCACAGCTCCCACGCCCCACAGCAGTGGGGGAACCACGAGCCCCAGCAGAAGTGTCCCCATTTTGTCAGGGATATTTTTAGTGAAAGTCAGGGACAGGTCACAGGCTTCCGTGAATTTTTGTTTATTGCCCAAAAACAACAAGGAGTCTGGTGGCACCTTGCCCGTGACCTGTGACTTGCCCGTGACTTTTACTAAAAATATTCATGACAAAAACTTAGCCTTAGTAATGAATGAAAATAACCACCAGATCTGAGGTCAGAAGAAATTTCCTCCTCAAGCAGTTAGCAATGACCTTTTTTGTTGCGCATTAAGTGCCGATCCAAAACTCATTAAAATCAATGGGCTTTGAATCCAACCCTAAGCAGGCATTGTCCGTTAGAGCATATCCCACATGATCAATTCCTACACAATGAATGGGCAGCCATTGGTGGACTTCACCCCATTCCTGTCTTCCACCTTTGGGGTGTTTATTTAGCAGTGGCTGATTTATTAAATTGTTACTTAAAAACCAATTGACTATAACAAAATATTTACTGAAGTTTAACACGCTTGTAGAAGGTGCATGTATATTAATCCTCATTGTTAACTGCCATTTTACATACAGTCACTGTCTTTTAAATATTATATTCAACACAGATTTGAGATGACTAACTTACACCTTAACAGAATATGTTTGTCACATTCCCTGATCTGTCCTCAAACAACTCTCTGTAGGAGAACCTTGCAGATCCCAGCAGACAGCTTCATAGCCCAGCTGAAAATGAGTCTAGTGAAAGGTTAACCCATGGCCTGTAAGGCCTGTTTCAAAGCCCGTATAAGCCAATGGAAACACTCTCATATATTTCAGCGGGCTTTGGACCAGGCCCAATAGCATCGGTACAGATTTTTCAAACACATTCAGCCATTAACTATACATATGCTTTTGACCACATCTGACTTAGGTCTGCAGTTCTCCAATGCAAGCATGCACTGGATCAATCAATAATATTTGTATATAAGCTGAGTGTGCATAAAAGTGCATGTGCAGTGAAGCATGCCCCTTATTAGAAATGGGGACTATATGTATTGTTCTGCAGTAACTGCGTTAGAAATAATGGCAATTATATTATGACTCACCTTAACGCTGCCACATTATATCCTAATGACTGTTCCGTTAATTCATTTTTATTGGATGCATTCTGAAATGGAACTTGTGTGTATGCTGTTAATGTATTTGAAATTAAAAGAGCACACAGCATTATTAGATGATTTGTATCATGCAACTGCATTTGGTTCTCCAGGCCATAGGACAAAGGCTGGTAAGTGCAGCCAATCAGTGCAGGTGAAATATATTTTTGTCAAGACACTCTCAGGTACCTTTTTCCCCAAATGATTTTGTCCTACGTCATTTAGCAAGTACAGTGATTTTTTTTCTGCCTGGATTCTGGAGGGCAACAGGTTTTAATAACAACTTCAAATTATACAATGTTGTCTCAGGCCAGTTCCCCTTATCGTAAGGATCAGCACTTCTGCTGGCACAGAAAGTCAAACTTGTTGACATTCTCAGCAGAGAGTCCAAGGACTGAATGAGCCATAAGGAATAAATTCCCGTCTTACCCTTAGCAGTGGTCCCTCCATGTCATTTTTCATGGAGTGCTGATCCTGACCATGATATTCTGTGAAGAGAGGACTCCACTCTCGAGGACATTCACTACCTTTTTCCAAAAAAAGAAATGTTAAAACATATTATTCAGTGGAGTCTCATGACAAATCATCTTTTTGTGCTCATCAAGGTCATCAATGATGACAACGTAGCTCTAGCCACAGAATTTGTTAGTGAGCTATTGCAAGAGACTACAGAGAATGAAGAGAAACAAAATGCATTTGTGTAGGTCCTATAAAAATAAAAGGCTATTGTGTTTTGCCTCCCCCCCCCCTTTATTTAATTGTAGTTTTTAAAATTTCTCTGCAAGGGTGAGAGTCCGTTTTTTATTAAAAAATAAAGATTATGAACTCCAAATAAATGCCCCCATCTAATAAAAACTATTTGAAGGTAGGTCAAATTGTGGCCTAAAAACCTTGACAGTGTCCCTTTAATATATTCTATTATCCAACAAATGGTTTGATGTAAACTGACGTATATCTTTTAAAAGAGCAAACTGGATTGTGACAGCTGATAATCTTGTTTTGTTGAAGGACTTCTATCACATTATCTTTAGCTAGAGGTTGAGGCATTGAGCAGAAATGCTCTGAAACAGGCCTACTGCTTAGCAGCAGTATGGAAAGGAATATCTGGTCCAATATGATTTTGAACTTGTACAAAATTGGCTTAAGCACATTCAACGTGTGCTCAATGGGCAGAAGGGCATAGCTTACAATTTGAAATGTGTACACATATGGCCAATCAGTTGCTCTAACTGCCTGGACTGGGCCATACAGAGCACTTGCTGTTACATCTAATGAGCCTAATCCCAAGGCAACAGAAATCAGCAATGGTCTTTCCATTGGCTTCAATGGGCCTTGAGTCAGACCCAACGTGATCCATAATGTGGAACCAGATTTTCAGAGGCAGGCAGCTCCCAGTTAGGCACCAGAATAAGCAGCCAGATTTTCAAAAGAGCTCAGCTCTTGGGTGCTTTTGAAAAACTGACCCTTGCTGGCTGCTGTTGGATCAAGCTGGAAGGCTGTGTGTCATAAAAGGCCTGGAAGCAAACTGCCAGTTACCGTAAATAATTATTGAATCCTCTGGGG